CCCCCCCCCCCCCCCCCCCCCCCAAACAATTGCAAAGAAATTTAATATATAATATGTCCTGACTTTTATGGATTTTACCTACCACCATTAAATCTAACACTACACTTGAACAGTCTCCAAAGAGCTGATCAAAAGGCAGCACATTCTCACTTCATTAGCATTAGTCTTGAGTTTTCAGACTACACATCTCCAAATCCATGATTTGTTTGTATGCCATATTTATGAAGCCCATCTCATAAGGAAAACATGTTTCAATATACTTGTATATGCAAGACATTTATATTGTATAAAACAAATACTGCCAAAGCTGTTTGTATAATGTCTTTATTTTAAACAGTACAAAGTGATTACAATAAAAGTCTACCCCCAATTAAAACACAAAATGCATTATCCCACTAAAAATATAAAAGCATCCTATCAGAAAAACTTAAAAAGACAGAGTGTCTATACAGCCATGCTCACAACGAGTGAGGCTGTATTTAGCCAAGTCCCATGTTTTGTGACCCATCCACCACTCCAACCTGCCTCTTGTCAGCACATACGTCACATGTTCGCAGCATATTACGCAAATTGTGTGGGTAATGCACGTATTACTGGTTCATCATTATGTGGACTATGTGCGAATTTTGGTGCATTACTTTTTGTAGGAAAACATACCAACAGTGTATGACAACAGCCTGACAAATTTTTAACAATTTATTCAGGGGGGTAGAATGGATGTGTGAATGAACCAAATGTCCTGGTAATTCTGGAAATAGTTGTTGAGAAATTATACTCAAAAGCACAACAGTCAATCTTATTGTGGCCCTCGTCAAATCAGGGAATCACTACAGTCAGTAGGCTACATCCTGTTAGCGCCATGAATATAAGTATACCAAATTTCATGGCAATCTCTCCAATAGTTGTTGTGATATTAAATGGTCAAAACAGTGAAACAGAAAATCCAGTAATCTAATCTACAACAAATTAACGACGTACAGTACAGGCCAAAAGTTTGGACACACCTTCTCATTCAATGCGTTTTCTTTATTTTCATGACTATTTACATTGTAGATTCTCACTGAAGGCATCAAAACTATGAATGAACACATGTGGAGTTATGTACTTAACAAAAAAAGGTGAAATAACTGAAAACATGTTTTATATTCTAGTTTCTTCAAAATAGCCACCCTTTGCTCTGATTACTGCTTTGCACACTCTTGGCATTCTCTCCATGAGCTTCAAGAGGTAGTCACCTGAAATGGTTT